TGAATATGCTTCCCGATAAGGACCAGATCATCATTCTTGACATATCTTTCCCCTTTTCTTTTCTTATGTAATCGCTGGATTTTATTACCAAGAAGAAGATTAAGGATCATATTGGTCTTTCCACTATCAGATCCACCGCAGATTAACAGACGAAAAGGAAATGCAGGACTTGCAGGGTGATTGGTGTTCTTCATACTTTTAACCTCATCGAAATGATAAATATAATATTCCATTCTTCTCATTGTGATGGGTTACTGAATTACTATATACTATAAAATGTTCGAACATTGTTTCCCAAATCATGCGACTTATTGCTTTGGTAAGAACCCTTTCTCGATTAGAGTATGCCTGATATAGGATAGGAGATCAGCAGTATATGGAATTTTGATAAGGCATATATTTTGCTTCTTGCATATATCCCGCTTCTTTTGATCACGAATCTTTTGTATTTCTAAAGTTTAATTCTCCTGATGATATAGGCTATTGTAATGATAGTGTTGAGGGTAGTGTTCCGAACGGGTCGGGTCGGGTCGGGTAACCCGTCTTACCCGACCCAACCCGTTTGACCCGTTTGACCTGTGTATCAAAAATAATTAAAAAATTAAAAAAACCCGGGGTTTTTAATTGAAAACATCAACCCGACATTTTTTAGTTAAAAAAAACAAAAAAACATCAAACTTGACATTTTTTTTTAGTTAAAAAAAACAAAAAACGCCAAACTTGACGTTTTTCTGTTAAAAAAGTAACGTTTTGGCATTTTTTTTAATATTTATTATATGTAAACTGTTAACTACGTTAACAGTTAGGGGTAAATCTGCTTACAATCTGTATAATCTGTCTCTTATACACATCTAGATGTGTATAAGAGACTTGATTAATATTGTAAAACGCGTTGAACAACTAGCTGGTGTTGATCAACGCGTATACTGGTGTGAATCAACACTTTTCAAACTTGCTGATGTATCTGTGTATTGGTGCACAATACGGCTAATATCGTCCTGACTACCACTCCCTTGACATAGGGCTAAATGCGTAACATTTTCACGGATTATTTTAGGAGTTTGCGTATACTTCTGACTCACATATATGCTCAATATTCTTTGATGTCGCCCGCTAATAAAATATGGGACAATCTGATCCTGAATCTTTTTTGATTCAGCGCAAAAGTCCTCAAAGACAACAACTGTATTTCTGTCTGAGGAAAACTTAGTTACATCTGGAATAGCATTCGCCTTTAAGGCCCGAAATGTAACATTCTCCCGAGTTGCTTCTGGAGCATTTGCAAATATCTTATAGCAGTTTTTAACCAATACCCATTTCGGTTCATGAATATGCTTCCCGATAAGGACCAGATCATCATTCTTGACATATCTTTCCCCTTTTCTTTTCTTATGTAATCGCTGGATTTTATTACCAAGAAGAAGATTAAGGATCATATTGGTCTTTCCACTATCAGATCCACCGCAGATTAACAGACGAAAAGGAAATGCAGGACTTGCAGGGTGATTGG